TACATGAACGGCCAAATCATTCTCGACAGCTCTCCCCCCTTCGCCCCACTAACAAGTAGACTGATTTGACGTACCTCAGATGTCTCTCTATGTGATAATCATGTACTGTTTATCCCTTGTAGGGTTCTTCATCCTATTCTTCTCATTCTCTCTTCTCATCTTTGTTCCAACCAAGCTGAACAACTTCACCCGCTTCGTGATTCATGGACATGACTTCACGTGAGTTCTCAATTTCAATCTTTCATCACTCTCTTTGAAGATCTGCCATAACTCAGCTCTACCTCACGTTAGGGTCTACACCGAGTGTTCTTTTCCCATGCACATCTGGATACATGAATGGTTTGCTTTCCCTTTTGGGAATGAGACCATTGGATCAATTCTGGATTCAAGTAACATTGATTACTAGTAGCCGCCNGAGACCATTGGATCAATTCTGGATTCAAGTAACATTGATTACTAGTAGCCGCCTGAAGAGAGTATATTCGACAAACATACATTTCAGTCAGTGTAGCGTTTTCTTTTCTTCTCACTATCAATAGAGCGTTTGCAATAAGTTCAAGAATGAAGAAGTATAAGAACCTTATCATAACCTTATACTTCGTGCACCTAATTGGCCAAGTCATTTTTCTGTATTTCGCTGGTATGAACTTGGTAGACGGTGGAGAAGAAGCACGGCAGATATGTCTCGAGGTATAGATCATTTCCATCGGTAGAGACAGATCTTTCAGAAACTACCATATAAATATCCCAAAGTGATGTACAGCTCTCGAGGATTTGATCTATCGTTCCAAGATACTGGATTGATCATGATCGCTTCATTCGCGTTATTGTATATTGTGATTTACTTTTCGATTGGAGTTGTTTGTGCTTCTATTCTCATTCAGAGCATCAGGGAGCAGGCCAAGTCATCGCAGTCGACTCAGTTCTTAGCCAACCAACGTAGAATTACTTCTGGAATTCTTTATTTCGTAAGATTCTCTACACCTGCTTAGATCAGCCTAGTTCAGATGATCGTTGAAACAGTTAGTTTCGGATGCCCGTTTGCAGTTCTTTGTTTTTGTGTTTTCTTGAATGTGGGGAATCCGGGTAGGTTCCGGTCTTGGACAGCGACTTCCTAATAAAATGTTTCAGTCGTCTCTGATTTTGCCTTGATCATCATTTGTACCTATCCAATATTTGGTCCATACTATGTTCTCATGTCCAACACAGATTACAGGAACAAAGTGAAAGACATACTTAAGAAAGGTTGGTTCATGGTGCTCGTTCTATTCTCGCTGCTTCACTTCTCGGTTCTTATGCCAATCTGAAACAGTACTTCTTCCAGTTCGTGAATCAGGGACAATTCACTTGAGTAATTGAACCTCTTTTCTCCTGGTAGGATAATTCATGTAGCCAATTTATGTTCTTCTTGTCCTGCAGTTCCTCGCTGCGTAGATCTGACTGTTCTCCTGCAACGATGTCATCTCAGCCGTCTCTTCTTAAGTTTGAGCATTTGATGTTTCTATTAAGTACAGACAGATTCATATTGGCCTGCGTGTTTTGTTGTTTGTGAGAAGAGATGCATCACGTGCTCACCCACGGTTGATGAAGCAGAAGCTCTTCTAGTCAACTTCACTTAGTTATTCCATATTAATCAAAAAACACTGATCACGCACCTGTGACTTTGGGCATGTTTTACATAAGCCAAGCTAATGTATCAACGATGGTTGTTACCACAGACCCATTGTTACCTCACATGAACGGAAGGGTTTCGTCGTGTTTCTTGTCAGTGTGCTCCTAGCTTGGTCTGACATCGAGGCAGATGTATCCAACTATTATTATGACGTGAGTTTTTCTAAAAATCGTGTTTTTGAGTATTAGCCAGGAGACTTCAATTACCTTCGATGCTTCAGAAGCTTCTTTTTCCCAAAGATGGTATGAACGAAGTGTGCAATGAGCGTCTTTCTTCGTCGTCGTCGTATAATAAATTTTATTTTCACTTATAGTTCTGGTTAGGATCTTTCTTCCGCTATCTTCGCCCATTTTCGAAGTTCCAAGTTGGGCTTTTTGTAATAATGAGCATTTGAAACTTCGAATAACCCTAAATTACAAACGTAGTTATTGCTCTATTGCCCGTCAAGGCGTTCAAAAATTGCGTATATCACCCATGTTTCAGGGGATATCGC